GTGGAGCCCCTCCCCCGGGCTGCTCCTCCACGCTTCCCCCTCCTGAGGAGGATGCGTCCTTCCTGGGGGACGGTCCAAAGGTAGGCTGGCCCTCACAGAGTCCACACTCCAAGGCAGGGTGTGGGAGTTAGGATCTGCTAGGCTAGGGGCAGTCAGAGATCAGAGCCACAGCCCCAGGCCCAGTGACCAGCTGTGCCAACCCTGACCGGGGTAAGGACCATGGAGAGCAGGAAGTGATTCTGTGACTGATGGCTACAGTCGTGGTGGGCTCAGCAGGAGTTCAGCCCTGGGCTGGGTCTTGCCTGAGAGCACTGGGGAGCCACAGAGGGGTTTAGAGGAGTGCCATGGGTGAACTTCAGGAGGCCAGGTGGGGAGGGAGGGCGGGCACAGAGGCAGGCTCCCCTGAGGAGGTGGAGGCCGGCATGGCTGGGGACACCAGGACCAGGCAGTGTGGCATGGCCAGAGTGGGACAGGGTGGGCACTTGCCATTTCTGCCTGGCTTGTTTCTCAGAAGGCCGCTGTCCTGGCCAGGGGCTGACCTCCCGCCACCCCCACCAGGTAGGCTGGTCCTGGCTGGCTCTTTGTGGGAACTGGGGATTTCTAGCAGGTTCTGAGCCAGCCACCTGGGCTATGCCATGAGTTCGTGTCTTGAGAGGTGCGGGTCTAGGGGCTACAGGTGTCCACAAGAAGTCCCCACGGGAGGCAGATGAGGTCCCGCCCCACAGGTCTCCCTCGTCCCCATCAGAAAGTAGCCAAGGTGATGGCACAGTGCAGGTGGGTAGGGGACATAGGCCTGTGCTGGGAACAGAAGCTGGGCGGGGAGGCTCAGCACGTGCGTGAGGTTCTGTGGCACCTTTCCAGGGCCACCCAAGGCCCAGGGCAGCCTCAGGCTGGGCACGGACACCCTCCCAGAGTCAATGCCTGGGTCTGGGCACACTGAGGCCCAAGGAGCAGACCTGCCTCTCCCCTGGTGATGGTCACCTTGGGAGGATGGAGGCCAGCCCTCCTGACCCAGGGCACCCCACCCCGCCTCCACCTCCAAAGGTCAGGTCCTAGGGGATCAGGTGTCTGTGAAAACTATCCCCCGAGAATCATCCGGAAGCTCCATTTCCAGACAGGGCTAGGGTTCCCGAGGTTGCCCAGAGCTTACCATCCACGTGACAGGTGGAATAAACTCCTTTGCCTCAGCTGGGAGCTTGGGGTCCTTGTTGGGTCATTTGTCCACTCAGCTGATTTCTGTCAAGGCCCCGCTAGCATGGGCTGGAGGGACAGCGATGACCAGACAGAGGCAGCCTTCAGGGAGTTTGCAGTCAGGGAGGAGAGGAGCCTGCCCCACTCTCCATATTCCCAGTGACCACGGCACCATGCCTGGGCTGGGAGAAGGGCAGTGGGCAGCGGGCAGCGAGCAGCGGGCAGCGGAGCTCCTGGGCAGAGATCCAAACCACAGCCTCCAGCCCATTGCCGGAGACCTCTGGCCATTGGGAAACTGCGCTCCGCAGCCCGGGGAGGAGCAGCTCGCAGCCCGGGTGCCAGCCAGGTGCTTGCCAGCCACTTGTGGCTCAGGGACTTGCTGGTCTTCAGGGGCCGCCAGTTCAGGAGATGGAGCAAACTTGACTTGCCAGATCCCAAGCCAGAGACAGCCTCAGTCCCCACGGGAGTGGCACAGACGGCGGGTCCCTTGCCAGCCCCCAGCCAGGCCACTGTGGCCTGCTGGGAAATTGGCGCCTCCTCCCCGCCAGCTGCTGGTTTTCTCGAGGGTGCGCTGGGTGCCAACTGCTTTGACTTGTTTGGAATGGAAATCTCCCCTTCCTGATACTATTGTCACTAGTACGTCCCCCCAGAAGCGGGGATCTGGATGTGCCGCGGCGGCAGCAGCCTGCCCTCCCGGGGCGTGAACAAGCCCATCTGTTTCCACTTTGGATGTGGCGGAGGCTCAGGGCGAGGGCTGCCGTCTGAGCCCACAGATGCTGAGCAGAGATGGGGGCAGCACCCACGGCACCCACGGCGGGAGAAGTGCTTGGATGGAGATAGCCACCACCGTGGGGCTGAGGCCAGGGCGCCCTGGCCAGCCCCCCACAGCTGCACAGGTTTGGGGTCCCAGAAGCTCTTCTTCCTGTGGCACCAGAGGCCAATGTGGGCTCCCTGTCTTTGCACCCCTCTGGCTTCCCTGCATGTCCTCAGGACCCCCAGCCTGCTCCAGGTCCTCGGGACCCCCAGCCTGCCAAGCCCAGCTCCAGCCTGCCCCCCTGAAGCTGTGGCACCACATGGTGGGTTTAGGGCAGGGCATGCCCTTGCTCAAGATTAAGCACAAACTTCAGAGACTCACAGCCCCAGGTTGTCTCCCACCTCCCCTGTCCACCTGTGTCACCTCCAGGTCCTATGCACAGCAGGGGCTCTGTGGGCTCCAGACCTCAGAGAGGAGGAGGGGCTTGTCAGTACTTGACTGGCAGGTGCATCCTAAGTAACATCATATTTCAGGATCAAATTACGTTGCATGCACGGACAAAGGTGGCATAGTGAATCCCACCTCTGTGCCCGACTGTGATGCACCAACAGAAAATCAACTGAAGAGCTACATCCTGTCTGAGACTGAGTCACGGTGGGAGTGGGGGTGACGGTGCAGAGGCTGCTGTCAGGTTTCTGTGGCCAGAACAAAGCAACCTACAGATTAAGACGTGGACCCCTGGTTCCTGGGGACACCCACCTGTCACAAGATCCACTGATGAGACAGTGTCCATTCTCAGAACAGGCGTTCATGGATGGCGTGTGACACCCCTCCCAACTCACAGACTCCCCCACCTCCTGAACAGGCAGGAGCCCCGGCTCAGAGCTGGGACAGGCCCTGCACTGACCCCACTCTCTCCTCAAGGCAGCGCCTTGGAGGCTGTGGGCCCCCACGCGGCCACCTCCGCTGCAGCTCCCCCCGACACATACCACGGTCACGCTCCTCCATGCCTGTCGCCTGCCGCCCTTCCAGGCTTCCAGGGCCGGGGTGGGGAAACTGAGGCACGGGGTGGTGAACAAGCTGCCCCAGGCCCACTGCCGGCCTAACTCTGTAGACAGTGTTCTGGAAGGCGGCTCGTCGCTCCCACCCGTCCCTCGGAGAGGACTGGAGCACCGGAGCGCGTGTCCAGGAGGCAGGGACGCTGCCTCTGGTCTCGTGGGCGGGGGGGGGGGCAGCTCAGGCCTGGGAGGACCCTCTGGCCCAGCTCTCAGCCTGCCTGAGATCACACGTCCTTGCACAGTGGGTGCAGGGGCCTGGTGGGCTGCCAGCCCTTCTCACGGTCCTGGGGACTTAGACCCTGGGCCCAGGGTGCCCCTGAGTTTATTCTTGTCTGTGCCCACCCAGAGCTGAGCCCTGACCCCAGCCGGCCCCCACCACACCCAAAGCCAGCATCTCTGGCCCTGGGGCTGAGGCTTCTCTGGCTTCCTTGTCTTCAAGTCAGGCTAAAGGTGCCACGGCTCTGGGGGGCTCCGGCTTACAGACGGCAGATCCCTCACTCCTGAGCCTCCACAGCACCGGGCCGGTTCCCCACAGCAAACCTCTCCTGCCATGTCTCCCACGGTTGGTTCTGGGTGCCTTTCTGGCACCACCAGGCACCAGCTCACACGCAGTGCCACCCTGCACAGCCTCACCACCCATATGCTCCGACCCTGTGGACACTGCCGCAAGTCTCAGGCCAAGACTGCATTCTGTCCCCATCAGTCCTCCCAGCGACTGTGTGACATGGCTCTGCCACTTTCTCTGTGGTTAGGGGAGAGGACGGAGCCCAGACCTGCCTGAGGTGGACAACAGACACAGGTCTGTCAACCCAGGTCTCACCCGCGCTCCCTCCAGCCTGAGGGTCACGGCAGAGCAGCACACACGCGTGGCCTGTGTCCACATACACGCCTCCACGGGCCATGTGAGGGTAGACACCCCAGAGCACGCCACACACAGGAGCCTGGGACTCAAGGACCCCGGAGGCTGGCACACACCTCACCCTGCAGGGGCAGAGGCTGCCCGGTGGCCCACACGCCCACTCGGAGCACAATTACACATGGTCCCTTCCCTCCCCACCCCACCCTACGACTGTCCCACCCCTGCCGGGAACTGGGTAGAAGAGGAGGTCCACCCAACTGCTCCCCATCCCCAAAGCAATGACATCGTTCTTTCTCCTGCCATTAGCAGCTCTGCTGATGGGTGGCCTTGCACGGTGACTCAGCAGCCGTTGGCCAGTCCATAAAACGGCGTTGCCCGCAGCGTGTCCATCAAGACAGACTCACGTGGCCCTCTCTCTGGGCAGTCTTTTCAGGAGGCTGAATGAGGTGCCCAACCTGAACCCCATGGTGGGGAGCTGGCAGGGAGCTGCTGCCCAACCCCTGCATCTTCAGCCCAAGGCCAGGTGACCATGCTCCTCCACGATGCCCCCCCCCCGCTGGCTCCAATGGGGCAAAGGACCCCCAGAGCAGCCCCCCCACCGAGAGAGCCCAGAGAGGGCTGGGAGCCCCAGGACCAGGTTGCCATGGAATCACGAGGGTCTACTATCCACCGGGGACCCAAGCCAGGTGTCAGCAAATTCCAGCAGTTCACATGTCCTGTGACAAAAATGGCCCTGGCCCAAGAAAGGAGCCCTCGAATTTCCTAGTATGAAATTTCAAAAAGCAAAGCTGTCCCAGAATCCAGATAGGTTTATCCTCGAGGAGAGGGGCTGCGGGGCTTGCTGACCGTGGGGCTCCCAGGTCGGTCCCCGCCGGGATCACCCCTGGCCTGCCCCATTCTGGCCGCCACAAAGCCAACCCAGTCCTCCTCACCCAAGGCCAGCGTCAGCTCTGGAGCCCGCCCACTGTGGTCACCCCCTGGTGGGAAGTGGCTCACAGGGGAGGGGGACCTCTGTCACCTGGGGTCTGGCAGCTGGCTTGCCTTTCCTAGGATTGCTTGGGCAGCACTGGGCAGCCCTGGGCAGGCAGGCAACCTTTCCATCTGGCCACCTTGGCCAGGACGTAGGATTCCCACTGACCTGCAGAAGGGACCCCTTGGTGGCTCCCCACCCAGCAGAGGGGAGGGGCGGCTGGTGGCTTCCTCCCGGCAGGGTGAGGAAGGGCTCCGTGTCATTAATCCCCTGGGGTGAGTCCCCCAGCTCCCGCTGAGCTGGCCCCTGCTCCAGCAGCCAGGGCCTCGATCCCAGGTGCATGACTGTCACCAAGATAAAAGAGACATAATTAAATTCCAATCAACTGGGTGATTTGTTATCATAATGTAATATTTCCCTCCAGCCCCTTAATCCCACAGATCTGCCTCCGCCAGGGCTGCGGGTGGGGGTCCCTGCCACTCTAGGCCCAGCTGCTGGAGCCCCTGCCCCCACACACTCGCCCTCCCCCAACGCCAAGCCCTGAAGGTGATAATGAAGTCATTTTTCTGAGGAATGCTCACCTGGAAGACAGCTTGTCCTCCGGCCAGCCAGCTAATCGGCTCATCGAGCTGGGGAGGCAGGCCCAGGGGCAGTGGGGTGAGCAGGGCGGGCCCTGCTGCGTGCTGAGCTGGGAGCCTGCTGCCCGTGGGGGGGACCGTGTGGAGCCTCCAGCCGAGACCCTGCCCGTTAGCCAGTGTGCACAGGGAGGGGAACAGGGGACCTGGTGCCAGGGTCCCAGGAGAGATGCATCTACTCTGTCGCAGCACGGCTAAGGCAGAGGGCAGAGCCTGGGCTCACGCGGAGCCACTGTGCCACCTTCCTGGGGCCTCAGCTCCCTGTCTTTGAGGTGAGCCTCCTAACACTGGGCCACTTGAGGAGGGGAGCCCTGAGCCAGGAGGCAGAGGCCGTCTCCCTGCCTCCCTGGGGCCTGTGTTAGAGAGGCCGAGGGGCCACCCCGAGGGGGGCAGGGCTCCTGGGGAGGAGGTCACTTTGTTTACACCTCTGGCCCTTTCTGTGGCTTCCACGTTTTCTAGATACGGGTCTGTCGACCGTCACGGGGTGGGAGGCCTGAGCTCTGGGTGGCTGGGCAGGCTGAGGACCCAGGCAGCTGGGAGCTCGTCCTGGGCAGGCCTGCGGCCACAGGGTGCAGGGCACAGGGGTGTCAGTGGCAGCAGGACCCCTAGACAGCAGCTCCCATACCTGTCCTGGGCCTGCACAGCTCCGGTGTGGGCTGGTCACCTCTGAGACCCCATCTTCAGGGATGCAGCTTTCCCTCCAAGCTGCAGGGCCAAGGAAGTCACCTGCTGGCCCTTCCTCCTACCTGATTCTCCCAACACCAGGGGACAGGGAGACGGAAACAAGGCCAGAGAGGGTGCCCCAGCCACACGGCTCTGAGCGCCAGAGCTGGTTTGACTGCAGCGGAAGGACCCCAGAGCTGGGCTCTCGACCTCCCCAAAGGCTGCACCTGTCTGATGGAGGCCCGCACAAGCTTCGCTGCTGGGAAAAGTGATGGACGCACATTGGGGACAGGAAATGGACACTGTGTCCAAGACACACCATTGAGGAAATAATGGAAAACAACCCACATTTTGACTCAGGGGATTATGATGCAATTCCTCAATAAACATAAAAATTCTCAACAATAAATAGAAGGAACAAAATTAAAACTTGGTGGGGTGGAATCTCCAGTGGTTCTCAGTTGGTCGACTTCCGGGTTTAAGACTCTTCTCCCTGGGTTCGGATCAGGGGCTGGTGAAGCCAGACCAGTGAGCATCTGATGGCCCCCGAGGAGCTGCTGTGAGGTTCCCTCCCGAGGGACACAGCGGGTCACGCAGGCAGGTGAGGCTGGTGAGGCTGAGGCTACGGCTCCTGTGGTGGACACGCCACCCAGGCTGGAAGGCCAGGGGCACAGGGGCGGGGGGCTTCTGGGCTGCACCTCTGTGGCCAGCTCCCCACTCCAGGAGTGGGCCTCCTGTGCAGAGAACAGCACCCCACCACCACTGGCCACACCACCCAGCTGTGCTGCAGAGCCTTGCGCCTGCCTGCAGAAACCTAGTGTCCAGGCCCCTGGACCCAGCAGCACAAACGCAGGGACTGGAGCCCTCAGCAGGTGCCCAGAGCCCCGCCTGGCAGGAGGCCCCGGAGCTGTGCCTCTGCATGTAACCTGGAGCACTCAGGGTGCAACACCAACCCCCAGGCCTTTAGAGCCAGCCCTGCACGTGAAGCAGGCTGGTGGGTGAGGAGGCCGCCACAGAACAGGCCTGGCCCCAAGGCCTCTCCTTCCTTCCCCAGGGCCTCTCCTTCCTGCCCCAGGCAGTTCTGCTCCAACTGAGCTCCCAATAACAGCCTAAAGCTGGGCGGCAAGCAAGGGCCTGGTGCCCCGAGAGCCAGTGCTCTTGGCTGCCTGGGGAGGCCCAAGGGCCGCGCTCCAGGGAGAGCTGGCCCTGGTGATTAGTCCTGTCTGCCTCAGGGCACGAGAGGCCCTGCCAGCGAGGGCCTGGCTGCCCCCTGTCCCCACAGAGACCACTTCATGTCTCCCTCCAGAGTGTCAGTCACACCTTCTGAGGCCTTCATGACATGTCCTAATGTACCCCGCCAGGCGGCCACCCCCCCATCAGTCCACCTGTCCATTTGTCCACTCATCATCCTGTCCACCTCCTCATCTGTCCACTCATCCCATGGCCTTCAGCTAAGTTCTGCAGGTAAGGGTGCTAGAGGGTGAGCAGGAGCCTCCATGTGGCCTGTCTCCAGCTCGCCCAGGAAGCTCCATGCCTGGCTGCACAGAGAGACCTGGACAGGAGACGACCTGTAGGAGCCGCCCCAGATGACCAGCAGCTCCACGAGGGCCCTGAGCCCCGTGAAGGAATTTGAGAGGGGAGTGGAGGGGGCTGGCATGGGGCCTGTGCTTCCTGGGGACAACCTTCCAGCACAGGGACATGAGGGGACGGAGCGCACACGTGGAGGTGGACACAGGACAGTGTTGTGCAGAAGGGGGCCAGAGGTAACAAGACCTGGACTCCAGCTTTGACTCCCTCTCACCTGGGCCTCGGCATCCTCCTCTATGGAGCGGAGGTGCTGGCCCAAGTCACAGCAGCTGTGTGGACGCACAGCCACAGGCTCGGAGCTGGACACACGTCCTGGACCAGAAGGAGCAGCTCCTGGCTGCCTGGACACTCACCCACAGAAGGAGGCCAAAGCCGGGCCCCCAGGTGGCATGGACTTCCAGGAGGCATCCCCCTGGCTCCCAGCTGCAGGAGGGAAGAGCGTGCAGGGAAGGGCCCGGCCTCGGCGCACAGCGAGAGCTGGGGAGGGCGGCAGCCCGTGCCAAGGTGGTTACAGCAGCCCTATTCATCAGCGGGGAACTGGAAACCTCCCAGCTGCCCAACAATGGTGCTGGGGAAGCCAGCGGCCTCGCAGGCAGCTGTGCGGGCCCTGTGGGCACATAGCTCTTGGCAGCATCGGCAGCGTAGGCAGGCAGCAGGCAGGACCAGCCGTGTGGGCACGCTGGAGGGCCAGGCAAAGGAGGGCACTGCGGGGGACAGTGGGTTGTGGTCTCCCGTGTCCCTGTCCCCTGGCTCCTTGGGAAGCCCCAGGGTCTTGCTGTCTACCTTATAATGTAGAGAAGGGGTTTTGGTGTCCCACGGCTGGGGACATTACAAATGGTTCTTGTCCCAGTGCCTCTGTCCTGCTGGGCCTCAGTTTCCTCACCCCTGAATAGGGTGGCCACTGTTCTGTGAAGCCAGAGAATGGGCCTGGCCTGGCCAGCAGGTGTTCAGGAAGGCACACATCACGAGAGCCTCTCGGATGGCGAGGCTACGAAGGGAGGGGACCCCAGAACTGCAGGCTGCCTCGCGCCCCTGTGCTTCCAGACACGGGACCTCTGCTCGTCTCCCACTCCACCCTGCAGCCCCTGCCCTGTGGCTGCTCTCCTGAGCGTGTTGGCCACAGGGGCCACAGGCCTCTGCATGCTCTCAGGCTGGGGCCCGAGGACCTGAGTGGGCAGCGGGTGGGAGGGGAGAGCCAGGACTACCCAGCCCCCGCTCGTGCAGGAGCCCAGGCATAGCACTGTGGGCCTGGCCAGTCACTGGGGGACCCTCTGTCAGGGGTGCAGGCTCCTGGGGAGGGAGGTGGGGGGGTGTAGAGGGGCTGGAGCTAAGCTGCGTGGCTGCGGAGCAGGGAACCGAGAGGTCCCCCAGCCCTCACCTGGGGCACCGGGCGGGCCTTGGCCTGGGAAGTGGACACCCTGCGCTCTCAGGACAGGTGAGGGAGGAGCCTCCTGGTTCCTCATAGCGTCCAGCACTCAGGGAGTAGAGACCCAGGCCCCTGACCCCACGAGCCTGGCCCAGGGTTTGCAGAAGCTCAGCCCAGTCTGAGCCCCAAGGTGGGCGGGATCCCTCAAAGCGCTTCCAGCCGTGATTGCCCGAAGCCGGGCGCTCCACAGCCCTTCTCCATCCTCATCCTGTTTGTTCACAGCTGTCACCACATTTCATAAACTCCTCATAGAAGGAAAGCGGGTCTCAGTTCTCAGACACCCGCGGCCGAACCAGAATCAAGCCAGCCCCTGAGTGGCACTTTCTCTCTCTCTGTTGGACTCAGTGTCCCACCCTTGGCGCCAAGGACAAAGTCCAAGAGGGGTGGGCGTGCCAACTGCTCCGTCCACGTCCCTGTGTCCAGCCCACCACCCCTCTCTGCCACCAGCAGCGTCCTCAGTGTCCTGCAGCCCCCCAGCCACAGGCCTCCCTCCCTCCCCTCCCTCCCCTGGACGGCGCTGGGCTCCGGCTCTGCCAGACCTGGGGTGGGCCTCCGGAACCCGCAAGAAGAGCTGAGCACGTAGGACCCATTTTCTCGGATGAGTTATAATTTTCCTTCATTTCCCCTTCAAAACACGCTAATTAAATGGACATTGTGGAGACAGCCCATTGAAATTCAAAAACGCACCCTCTCTCCAAAGAACATCCCCGTTTCTTTGGAGGCAATTGTGTGCATTGTGGAAACTGGGCATGGACGTGCACACGTGCGCACACACGCGCTGAGCCCGGTGCAGGCACCCGCCGCCTCACCTGAACGATGTGCTTCCTGCCCGGGAGGGTGGCTGGAGGCCCCCTTCTCCGCCAGCTGCCTTCACCACGAGGCCCTGAAAACGGGTGCTCTTGTCTCTCACAGCCGTGCCACTCTGCAGTGGGGCAGTGACCCCTGGGGGCCGTCCACCCTTCTGTGTCCTCTTCCAGGGCATTGTCCCTCTGCAGCCCCTGCCGTGCCCCTCACTGATGCCCACTGAGGCTTCTGCACCAGCCTGAGGATGAGAAGGTGGCCTTGGTGAGCCACCCCGACCCTGAGCATCACCTCTGGGTGACAAGAGCAGAGAGAGCAAGGTCCCAAGGTGCCACAAGAAACAGCCTTTCCAGGGAGGGAGCTGGGCCTTGAGGGCAGCCGGACTCACCTGGGGCGGCCCCTGCTTTTGAATTAGTGACCAATACTCATGCTCTGTGTGAGCGCCACTCAGCCGGATGAAGCCCTACCAGAGCCCCCCTGGGAGGGCAGCCACCCCGCTGGGCCGCATGGCTCAGCACCACAGGCCCCTTCTACCCATCCATCTCTGCAGGCCCAGGCTCTCCGCCCTCACTCCGTGCCTGCGGCTTTCCCACAGCTCTCTCTGCATGAGGCCCATGCTGCATCGGAGCCCCTCAGATACATGTCCAGCCCCTGCAGGAGGACTCCTGGCAGTCTCCGGCCAGGGTCATTGTGAACGAGGCAGGGGTGGCCACTCGCCTATCTCAGGGTGGCCATTGGGCAGGTCTCTGTCAGTCACAAACCTGGGAGTGGGAATGCAGGGTTATTGAAGAAC